ACAGTGTGCTGACCCGTTAGATATCGGGCGGGCACTTAGCAGGGCAAGATTCTGGGGTTTTATTGAGATTGGTTTAAGGGCGCAACGAGGACGTTGCGATCCTAAGTGGGGGCGATTGTAATACCCGAGATTAATGTAAGAGGATTAATAGTACTACTCATACCAATAGAGGTGCATCTCCTTTTAAGGGAGCTCATCACCCAAGAACTCCAAAGTTAAGCGTGCTTGCACGGGAGTAGTCTTGGGATGGGTGACTCCCTGGGAAGTTTCTCAGGGCGCGCATGAGTGAGGACAAAGTGCGCGGTAAAGGCTCGTGGTGGTTTGTGGGGACAGTACTAGAGGTCTAGAGTAACTACCTCGGGTCCGTGTGGGGCCCCGGGGTGTTACAAGTGGGCCCGGGCCGGGCCACCCGCCCGGGTCACGGGTCGGGTCCGGTTCGGGCCGGGTCGGTTAATTTTTTTTTTTATAATTTATATTTTATATTTTATAGTTTATAGTTTTATAAGAGTATTAAAAACAAACTTCAATTGCATTTATTTGAAATGAAATAGGAACTACATTTGAAAATTAAAACAAACTTTAAGAGAAACATTTTGAAAATTGTAATCAATCGGAACTTCCCGCACCTCCCGATCCTTTGGCTTTGTGACCTTTGTCACATGACTTCATATGCTTGATTGCATTCCTGAATCCGCCTGAAGCCCCCATAATACATTTTTTTCCGCACCATTTGCAAATTGCGTACCACATCCCGGTCTTCGGGTCCTTCTGCTTATCAAAATTATACCGTATAATGGCATTTTGATTTTCCATCTTAACTTCTTGGAGAAGAGAATTAGAGAGTAGATATATAATATATTGGAGAATAAGAGAATTAGAGAGTAGAGAGTTAAGAATGAATTTAGGAAGAATTGGAGAAGAGATATGAAAAAATGTTTAAGAGTAGGAGTATTTATAGGTTTTTTACCCCCCACCCCCCCCCACCCCCACCCCCCGGACCCCCCCTTTACCCCACCCAACGGCTATATAGCCGTTTGGGTTGTCCCCAGCCCCACCCCCAAGGCCTCAACGGCTATGTAGCCAAAAATCAATTTTTTTTTTTTTAAAAAATAGACCCGGACCCGGACCCGGGCCCGACCTGGCCGGGCCGGGTCACAAAAATGCTGAACCGAGCCCGCCCCGTCCCTTCCCCCCGGTTCGGGCCCATACCCGGTCCCGGACCGCCCGACCGGGCCGGTCCCGGGCCCGCACAGTGCCGGGCCGGGCCGGGTCACGGGCCGGGTGGCCCGAACCGAATCCAACCCTACCTCCGCCCTTCAAAACTTTGCCAAAGGTGACTGACACGTAGAATAATAAAGTAAAAATTGTGTGGTTGAAGTTTGTGTAGAGTAGAGAGAATTAAAGTTTGAATTGATCTGTTCTACTTCATTTATGTTTTGTCTGACCTTTGACTGAAATGGATCCAATTAAAAATACTCTAAACACCCTTCACATTTGTATACATATAAACATATGTGATTAATGTTACATCAACATGGTGCTCATCGAGTTTAAAATGATTGGCCCTTCCCACCTTTAGAATAAGTCAAATAAAAATTAAAGTTAAATAACCAAATTCGGATAAATAACCAAATTCGGAAAGTCGCTCAAAATAAAAAACATTAATGTTTTATACTGCATAAACTTAAATGTATCAACTAATAAAATTTGCACGACTTTTTCTATAGTGTTTGAACAATTCGATGAAGAGTATAAACTAATTTTATAGTTTACAGGACAAAAGTAAATATATTAAATTTTATGTGATATATATACCTAGCTCGTACATACAATCAGTTCAGTTTAGTTCGGTTTGGATTTGTGATTTTTTTTAAATAGTACATGAATGTCTTATTGAATTTCTCTAGTTCGATTCGATTTTGTTCGATTTTGTCGGTTTTGGTTCGGTTCGGTTTAATATGCTTTGGAAGAAATACTATCAAACTCAAACCAAATTTGATATAGTCCGATTTCGGTTTGGTTTAGTTCAATTTGGTACAGTCCATTAAACCAAACTGACATTCTCACCCCTAGTTTTTTGTCCATATATGATCATTCCGTTGATATTTCCAAATTCTAATGCTTAAAATCGCCGGATCAGTATCAAAATGATGCACAGAAAATGTTAAACAAAAGGATCATAAATAGTCAAGAAATATTAGTTTAGTATCAAAACTGGACAAGGTCAAAGATGTAATCTAAATGTGAAATTGACATAAAACTCATAGAATAAAAAGTGAAATCAATTCTTATTTTGTTTGTTACATAAAATAATCAAAGGGTTTTGCCATGAATATTACTAAATAATAGGTTTTGGACAAAAAAGTGACCTTTCTTTTTACTTTCTAAAAATGTGACTAATAAGCATTTGCTTTACTAAATTACCCTTCTAACTATTTCATACCGGTGAAGCTTAGCACCGCACAATGCTTCTGGAAGCTGGAGCAATAGCAAAGCCGTAATAATGCACTTAACATTGCATTTCATAACAATTAAGCCCCAACAATGAGTGCTTCATTGTTTTTAATATAATATTTTTTAAATACCTAAATACTTAAATTACACTAAAATTTGTGTGAAATTTTAAAATGTCTTAAATTATTTCAAAGTTTCTATTTTTTGGCGAAGTGATTTGTGCGATTAACTATAATGTGATTAACTATAAGTGACTCCATCGACTAGGGACATATTACCTCAGTGACTATATTAATGACCGCCGCTCCAATGACTATCGCCCAATTATTGTCGCTCCATTAATTACCGTCTCAGTTACCATCATTCCAGTTACTATCGTTTTAGTAACCACTGTTTTAGTTACTACCACCGGTCAGTGACCAATGGTATAATGACTTGTTATAGTGACCAATGCTACAGTGACCAATGCCAAAGTGACTACGATTATATCCATATATATACAGTGACAGATACATGTCTATAGTGACAATTACACAATTAAATGTTACAGTTACAATTACATTGTTACATGTCAGCCAAAGTGACTAACTTTACGATTATATCCATATATACACAATACAGTTACATGTCTATAGTGACAATTACACAAGTACATGTTACACTGACAATTACACAATTACATGTTAGAGTGACAATGACATAGTTACATGCCTAAAGTGACAATTACATGTTCGTCCGCTCATCTGATGACTGACGTCTACCACCGTCCCAGTGACTATCGCTCCCGTGACTAACTGACTACTGTCATAGTTACTTCTGCTTAGTGACCAATAGACACAGTGATTTTCGCGTAATCACCCCGCCAATGACCAAACCCGACAAGTAATCACCATCGACCAATGACCACTGTCGGCCCACCGACTAGTGAGCAACAATTAGTGATGTATGTGCCTCACCCTAGCAGCAACACCGCTGACCACTGCTTCCAAACCATAGCCACCAACCACCAGAGACAATGACACACACCACAATAACACGAGCGGCACCACCTCTTCCAAACCGCATACGCCAACCACCGGAGACAGTGACAAATATTACAATAACACGACTATAGTGACTCCGGTCAGTTACCTCGCCAGCCCGACAGTTACCTCGCCAGCCCGACTCTGGCCGCCGCCGCACCAGCTCCATCCACCGTCACTCCCTGCCCTAACAACCTGTCACGGCCTCCTAACTGTTACATCAACCCTTGTCACTGCCCAACTAGCCCCAACGTCCCCCACCAATTCCCACCACGATCCCACTTGCCTTATTGCCGCCACACCAATCCAACCTCGTCCGCTTGTCCCTACACCAAGTCCTTGCCATCCACCACTTCTCCTTGCCCCACCCTAGCCTAATCAGCTCCACATAACAACTGTTCGAGATCTGTCGATCTCAAATCCATCGAATCACGTTGCTGGAGGGATGAAATTTCTCATCAGATTTACGAAGCTCGTCTCCGTCGCTGAAGGATGAAGTCTCTCGTCGGGTTTACGAAGCTCGCTGCCGCGACTGGGGGATGAGGTAGCCGTCGGATCTACGAATTACGTTGCCGCCGTTGAAGGATTTGGTGCGGCTTGAAGAAGACATTTGAAGAGAGAGGAAACAACGACGGAGTGAGCAATGGTGGTTTGCAGACAAGAAAAAGGAGAAGGAGAGGAGTAGTTGTCGCTCTTTGTAGCTGCTTCCCCCGTCGCTTTTCGTAGTCGGCTCGCTTGAAGAGATGCAGACGGAGAAGATTTGATCGTTGTCTTCCTTACAAAATCTGGCCGTTGGATGAGATGCCCTGAGCCATAAATCAAGAGATTTAGAAAATAGAAAATGGGTTGGGAGCAAGGGTAATTGAGATATTTTACCCCCCCCCCCCCCCCCCCCCCGTGAATCAGTTTTTTGTCCTAAACATAACGTGCTCACATTTTTGTCCACGCAAAGCTTCACCATCACGTTTTGGTCATTCTTTCAATAATCAATTCAGAATTTAAAAAGGTATTAATAGACATCTTAATAATCATTTGAATGGGAGGATCGTTACAAGGCCACCGAATGGAATTCTTGACATCCATGTGGCGGCTTTATTAACGGAGGATGGGGTAGATTGGAACATGACTAGAGTGTAAGCTCTGTTTTATGATATGGAGTACGATGATTTTTAGCATTCCTATTAGTAGGAGAAGACCGGCTGATGAGCCTAAGGGACAATATACGGTCATTACGGTGAAGAGTGGATATCGTAGGGCACGAGGAGAGGTTGGAAGAAAATATTTTGTTTGGGCAGGACAGGCAGGTTATGCCGAGTCGTCTTCCTATAGCAGCTAATTTAATTTGACGGAGAGTTGATATTAATCTGGGTTGCAAAATCTGTGGGCGTGAGGAGGAGAAGGAGAATGAATTACACTTATTATTTCAAGGGTGTCAAGTGGTGAAAGGGGTATGGTGCTTGCTGGGAGTTAAATTTCAAAGACAAGCAACAACCTTTGAGGAATGGGTTAAAGCTCACTTTGAAGCTTTATAGGTGGAAAATTAAAGCTTCATCAATAATGTTTCTTTACACCAATAAATGCGAAATTACATACAATGAACAATTAATGAGCACACATTCCGAATGAGTAAGCTTTGATTGTAGTGAATGTACTGTGGTAGAAGATTGCCATAAGGCATGAGCTTTACACAGAGTGTCCATGATTAATTAAACTAACATATTAGGGATGAGATGTGGGAACAAGTTTGAAGTTTCTTGTCGTCTTAGCCTGCATTGATCCCCTCCAGCTCACAGTTCTTCAGGAAAATTCTCTGGGAGTACACCAATCGGCTTGAACAAATACGCCATGCTGTAGTGGTTAAACTTTTCCAGTTTAATAAATGGAGTCTAATATAAAACACCCTCACCCTTAAACTTATCTTCCTGGTTTCTGTTTTTGGTCCAGAGTGATAACCAAACAGGAGTCGAGAATAAGCATTTATAACTCTTAATAATCGAGGATTGAGAAGGGTCCATGGTGAAAACATCAGATGAGTTCATAAAAACTAGATCAGCGAAATATAGACAGGCATGCAGCCTAATAGATCGAATGTACCTCTAATCGGACTTCCCCTTGGCAAGACTTAACAACACCCCACCGCTGAGACAGGTGGCTACAACGGCAAGAGACGCCTCGGTAGTAACATGGAATCCTGCATGTGCAAGTACTATTTAGGGTAGATTTTGGACACGGAAATGTCAGGAAACAGAAATAAGCAGGAAATAGAAAGGAAACTTTGAAAGGAAAGAAAATGTGTGGGGGGTAAAGAACTGCTTCAAACTCAATAAATCAGTTTTGGATTATGTTTAAATATTTATATTGTACTCCGTACAAGACTAAGATATCCAAGTACTTGTAAAGAACAGTAATGTTCCCATCGAATTTATTTTTATTTGAATTTTTAAGGTAAGATGGAACATTAAAATAACTATTATCCTTACTATCTTTTCCCTTTCCCTGTAACTTTCCAAGTTCCAACTAGTCTTAGTATTATACACAAGAGAGAATGAGTTGCAATGATCAAGACTCACCAAAGAAATCCAGAATCATCTTACACCCAATAAAGCCCAAAACAGCACCAATTGCAGGCTGTTCGCACCAGAAACTAGATTTCATCAGAAATAACAAAAGGACTATCGGGGCATAACACATGCGATAATATCAGTAACTGAGACAGTAGTGAAGCAATGCATAACATGTGATAAAACTGCAAAGGTATGCCCGGTTTGAGAAACCAACCATTTTAAATGAGTCATTTTCAAAGTTTATATTGTTAATAATTATGATAAACTTGATTAGGAGTTCTATCAGTGGGCCCAAACGAGTAAGCTACCGCTTCATGGAAACAAGTCGTCAATTCAGGACTTGAAAGATTATAAGTTATAACATATCAAGTCAGTTTACATTAGATTCTTCAATGGTGTTAACTTTTTGAGCCCTCAAATGAGTTATTTACGAAGTTTATATTCTTAATTATAATTAACTTGATTAGGAGTTCTATCAGTGGGTCCGAAAGAGTAAACTACCGCTTCACGGGAACAAGTCGTCAATTCAGGTCTTAAAACTGCAAAGGTATGCCCGGTTTGAGAAACCAACCATTTTAAATGAGTCATTTTCAAAGTTTATATTGTTAATAATTATGATAAACTTGATTAGGAGTTCTATCAGTGGGCCCAAACGAGTAAGCTACCGCTTCATGGAAACAAGTCGTCAATTCAGGACTTGAAAGATTATAAGTTATAACATATCAAGTCAGTTTACATTAGATTCTTCAATGGTGTTAACTTTTTGAGCCCTCAAATGAGTTATTTACGAAGTTTATATTCTTAATTATAATTAACTTGATTAGGAGTTCTATCAGTGGGCCCGAAAGAGTAAACTACCGCTTCACGGGAACAAGTCGTCAATTCAGGACTTGAAAGATTATAAGTTACTCCCTTCATCCCCCTATAATTGTTCCATTTTTTCATTTTGGATGTCCCCCTATTATTGTCCCATACCATATTTGGTAACATTTGTGTGGCTCTAATTCATTATTACTTTATTCTCACTTTATCAACTCATTATCAACCACTTAATTTTACTTTTCTTAAAAACCACACCTCTCTTCTGTCCCAATATTAAGGGAACGGAGGTAGTATAACATATATCAAGTCAGTTTACATTAGATTCTTCAATGGTGTTAACTTTTTGAGCCCTCAATTGATATATTTATTAGTACTTGATGTCCCAGATTAATTTAAATAATTTTTCAAACCTCAATTTTGGACACGATTTTCACTATGGGTCATCCGGAAACAGTCTCTCTGTGCTTTAGTACAGGGGTAAGACTGCGTACATCCGACCCCCCCCCCCTACCCCACCGTAGGTGGGAGCCTTTGCGGCACTAGGGTAAATGAAAAAAAAAAGAAAAAAAATGTATACATACACAACTAGCTCCCTCCATATGGAAAAAGAATGAATCCATCACCTGTAAATACTCCAATTCAGACATACTTCCAGAAATGAGTGTGTATAATGACCTTAAACCTGCATACAAATTGGCCTTAATGGTAACACATATATTGCGTGCTTAAATTCCACGCACTCCTCTCACTAAAGTCGGGGGGGGGGGGGGGGGGGGGGCTTTCACCATTAAGCACAAAACCATGCAATATATCAGCATCTTGGATGCAATGGTGAAAAAAAATGCAAGATATCAACATCTTGCTTTTTTGTTGCTTCTCCCAGTCTTAGCTGGTGATGTTCTTCCTTTGATTAAGCCTTTTTTGTAGTTAGGCTCCACTCCCCTGTGATTATTTTATCCTTTGGGGAAATTCCTCCTTGTAGGGGTTTGGCTTTAGGCCTTGGCATAACTTCCCCTCCTCCCTTCTGGTAAGGGTGCCTAGACATTACCCCATCGAGATTGATAGATTTTTCTTGGCTACAAGAACAGTGCTATAATCATAATACGGTGTATTATGTTTCAAAATATGTCATAAACATTTGATTGCAGACTTGAGAGTTGAGGCAAGCAGAGCAAAAGATGCCAATTCATCCATTACTTCTCTAAACATTGGCAAGCATAGCAACAACTTTGGGATATTTAAAATGAAGAGAGAATTTAGAGCAACAGTACCTAAAATGGCAAAAATATTAGAAGTGAAAACTATGAAAGGGTCTCTGGTAACACCAAAAACAGCTGGTATAGAATCAACCTGAAAATAATCACCAAGATCATAATTAGTTATTTACAAAAAACCAAGGAGTTTAAAAACTAAATATTCCTATGGAAATAGCACATACAGCAAATGCAATATCACTGAGTTCAATTACGGCCACTGTAAGGAGTAAAGGTGTAGCCTGTCCAAAATGTGTGACGCCTGTTAGAATTGAAGGAACAATTCATGTTTAACAAAACTTGGTCTAGATAAATGTATACAACTGAAAATGGACAAAAATGGAGTTCTATAATGTGTAGTACGTGTATAGCTTCTGATCAAAGTAGAAATGTAATATTAGCATGCCAATAATAATTGCTATTGAACTATTATTCCTCAAGAGTAAAAATAAGCAAACAGGAACACAAACGTAAAGAGACAAAGAAGACGTACTTTCCAAATGCCATCCTGAACTGTTATGAATCGATCACCGTCATATTTAGCTGCAACTCGAAGAAAGGAAAGATAAATTTCATTTGAACTTTTCAATATGGTACGCTGATGTTTTGTTTTTCATAAATTCAAGTTAAGATGTAAAAAAACATGGTCTATTTATCAATGTGAAGTTTGATTTTCCTACAAATTAGGCTCTTTTATCTTTATCATGTGGAATTTTAGCTTTTTGTTTTCTGATATTATAAACTTCCTCCGTTCTTTTTAAATTGCAGGGCTTTGATTTTTGCATTATTCACAAATAGAATTTTTCTGAATAAATCTCAAAATATATAAATGATAAGTATGTAAGGAAATCATATTATGTAGAAAATTATTAAATGATAATTTCAAAATATATAAATGATAAGTATGTCGATGTCTTTTTAGTTAGAAAAGATCACAAAAAAATGTGCTTATGCAATGGTCACGAGAGAGAAAACAATACAGGTTATGGGAATAAATCTCTGGCAAGTCTTTACTATGAAGTTTTCAGAAAGATCAGTATCTCCATCTTCTTCAGCAAACAACTGTGATGAAATTAAACAAATAAACATATACATTATGAACCAGATTGCATGAAAATCTTAATCCAACAAGATCACAAGATAAAAGGAATCTTGGTGTTTAGACAAAAACACAAGTAAAATTTATCATCGACCGCATCAGGCAATTACAATCAGTATTTGACCTTAACTTCTTGTGCAACATATTTTTCTGTCTGCTAATGAACTGGGATAATGTTGAAGAGATGAAATCAAGATAAGTACATTAAATGAACGGAAAATGTGCATGTGGTCACTAAACTACTCATTCATGTATCCAATCGAGTACTAAAAACTAATATGTATCCAAATGGGTATTAAACTTTTATTTTGGTTTGACATGCCGTTCTATCGCAGTTATTCTGCCAATTCCATCCTACATGGCAGCCAGATTGCCACTTGGACCTGTAAAATGAATTTAGCTAAAAATGACTTAATTTTATAATGCACTCCCTCCGTCCCATAAAATAGTTCCCGCATTGACTTGGATCGGAGTTTAAGAAAGTGAGAATAAAGTGGAAATGTATGGTTGTGGTTGAGTAAGAAAAAGGTAAATGAATGTGAGCCACACAAAACTTTCCAAAAAGGGAAATGGGAACTTTTTTGGGACGGCCAAAAAGGAAACCGGGAACTATTTCAGTATTTTGTGGGACGGAGGGAGTATATGATAAGATAGAGTTTAATAGCTAGTAAGACAGGTAAACAACATGCAATCATAATAACAGACAGCCTAAATAGAGTTTTAGATGCCATATGGGACAGCCTATTAGAAGTTTGGTACCTATTTTTGATACGAATTTATGTTTACTTGTTTCATATCTAATTTGAAAAGAAGAAGAAAACAGCAATTTTCATACATAGAACTTTCCCTTAAGCATTCCATCATTTGTAATGGAACCAAAGATTCACTATTTTTTGTCTTGAGAATATGATGGAATAGAGCAAAATGGCTCACCAAACTGTCTCATGCAATTTTTTAATGCGATTTTACCATGGGTCATCCGGAAACAGTATCCCTGTACTTTAGTACAGGGGCAAGGCTGTGTACATCCAACTCCCCCTTACCCCATCGTAGGTGGGAGCCTTTGCGGCACTGGGGTAATGATGATGATGGTGGTGGAGAACTTTCCCTTAAGCCCTTCTTTGGTCAGAAGACTTTGGAGGAGTTTTGTATGTTTGAAAAAGATTTAACTTTTATGATAAAATGGGAGAAAAAAAAATCTCTATGAAAAGTTGTTGCCATCTATCTTTTCTGACACACAGCGCCTTTATTTCAATCTTTTTTTGTTGACTTGTTGTTTTGAAATGAAAAATATTTCTCAGAACAGGCAATGTCAACCAAATCAATATTTGAATAAAAATTACGAAACTCATGAAAGTGATTTTCTACTGAACGGTATAGATTCGTATTTACATCTAAAAACGGTCGACGGGGGAGTAACTATTGGTTGGGGAAGTTAAAAGGGAGAGCTGTGGTCTCCTCCAAACTCTTCAGATTTCACTCCCCCAATCTAGGGTATTTTGGAATAGTGTCTTTTTTCTTATTTCTTTCACCTCTTTTAAATCACTATAGCCATGCAGTATTACTGTTATACATATGGCCACATAGGGGGTGTTCGACATTTAGCGGATATCTGATACCGATTGTGTTAGTGGACATGGATCAATTGCTTTATATTTAGTTAACTATTCTTAGATTACTTTATAAATTTCAAATGATTCAGTTTAGTAATAACAATAGTAATTAGTAGTAAACCAGTAACTTGTGTTAATATATACTCCGTAATATATTTGACCTTTTTAATATATAATAAGAAGAACCATTTAAAACACTGTATTTCCTAGATCGCATAGTTATTTAACATAACTATATGAGTAAATTTAATAATTACTCCCCCGTCTCACTATCTTGTTCAATGTTACCTTTTTCGTTTGTTAGATACCATATTTGTTAATAGACTAACAATTTTGTGGTTCAAATTAATTCATGCTTTACAAATTTAATATCAACCACATTATATCACTTTCCTTAACAAATGGTCAATTGTGTTTTTTGGCTTTCAAAGGAGTAAATTAGGCCTTTTAGAGTATAAAGTAACCCCACTAAAACCCTTCGCAGTATGTAAAACCCATCCCAGCCTTCTAAAATACTGTTCCACGTCATTTATTATCTTCTTCTTCAACGACAGCGTCGTGGCTCAAAAGACTACTTTTGATTTGATGTGTATTGTATGTAACTATATGCATGCATATAATTATGCATTCTGCATAAAATTTATCTAAATAGCAACCGTCCTGCTATCCACTATACCGCTGTAATTTTTTCAAGGTAGGCCGCTCCACTGCCCTATCCGGGATTGACAACATTGTTAAATAAAACTTTTAACATATTTTTCAAAAATAATAAATTTTCTCCTTCCCTCCTCTTCCCCGTTTATGCTCCCCTTCCCCAGGCCGGCCCTTTGAGTGATCAAGTGGAGCCAATGTACAGCACCCAAAAAATTAATAGTTCCAACTTTTTATTATTTAACCCAATAAAGAATAACTATTCTTCCATTGAAGATGCTGAAGTCATGCATAAATTCTACAATGAACAGGGAGACTTAATTGAATAGTTCCAGAAGCAACTAAGGGCGATTAGTAAGAGAAAAGTGAATATGAAGATACGTTAGAGATTCAATTTCAAAAATTATTAGAAGGATATAAGTAAAACTTAAGTTTAGTTTCAAAGTATAGCATGGAATTTTAATACTTTTGATTTATTAAGTATTATCGTATATGAATAGAACTCTAATTTAATTTTTAATTACAATATGATAGTTTTTATTATATTTTGTTTGAAAGTCAAGTGTTTGGTTTAGAACAAGCTCTCAAAATATCTGGAGCGGGTCTGCCCCTCCCCTACCCTATTTTGAGGCAAACAAGGGTAAAAGAATTACGGAGTAAAAATCATTGATGAGTGCAAAAGGATTGATACAGCAGCCATGGAAGATGCGGTACCTTGAATGATGAGTATAGGAGTAGCCCCGCCAATGGTAGATTAACTGCCTCAAATTTCTAAAAATAATACCGGAATATTTGGGAAAAGCTTATTAGTGATACAGTTGTAAATGGTAAAGGTGACTGCACATCAGACTAAATACCAGAAGGGAGTTAAGTCCTAACCTGAAGAGTTGCTGTCCCAAGTAGTATGATAGACAATCGGAATATTATTGCTCCAGCAATCCCATATGAAAGCACTCGATTCTAAAATGCATGGAAGATTACAGCCATTAACAGTCAACAAATGAGAAAGTAGATTGAGGACCAAATGTGGTAAGTAGCAAATTTCAGAATGTACTCAGATGGACTAATGCAGTACCTGATACATCAGGGGCACTTCAAAATACTTGAATATCAAAATAAAGACAAACAAGTTGTCAACTGACAAGCTCTGCTCTAGGATATACCTGACAATTTATGTAAATAGATGAATTAGTGATACTAATATTGAATTATCATATTACTGATTGGAACCTCATCCCACATTCCCACCAGAAGAGTGATGAAGAAAAATATGCCATCTATATAACAGAAGAGAGAAGTCACAATAGGACATTACAATTTAGTTTTAGACAATATATTGAATAAACGCTGAAGTAATGTATAGCTTGTGTAATTGGAAATGCAGACGGGGATCAACAGTTTTGTACCCAGCAAAAAACTCATATGCCTTTTCAGCTCCACCCATGTAACCCAAACCAGCACCAAACACTACTGCTGACAACACCTAAAAATAATGAAAGGCTGTACGCCCTTCGATTAGAATGTCCAATATCATGAGAAATAACATTGACGATTTGGTACAACAATGAGTCAATGATCAAACGAAGTATTACACATAGAGCTACCGTCCTAACAGAAGATAAATGATTCTCAGACCCGTCATGGTTGACACTGTCAACTGATTGTTGATGAGACATGTCCTTCCCTGCACAACAGTTTTGCCACACAATATTAGCTTAGAACAGTGAGTACAACAGATTGGCATCAGCTATCACTTCCTCATACTTCTAAAGAGTTCCAGCAGCACCAACTTTTATGTACTCAGTTTCATTCAACAATGGCCACAATTCTGATAAGACAATCATTCTGAAAAAATACTTCAAAAAGGCCCTAGTTGGCTACAATATTTCTCTGGACAGCTATCCCACATAGCTAAAATTTAAGCGCATAGGCCAAAGTTCCAAAAGCAGTGCATGAGCTCGTATATGGTGCTTTGTTCATACAATAAGATGTCAGAAATAAGAAGTAAGGACAAGACAAAGATTAAAATTATTGCCTGATGTAGACAACTGTTCTCCTTGTTCAGTTTTTCTTGAGCATAAAATTCTTGAATTACACCTCCGTTCAGAGCCAGCTGAGGGTTCAAATGCATACATTAGTAATTTGTCGTGCCTCAAAATTGAGTTTTTTTTCAGTGACGCGTAGTTGTACTTCATTACCTAACAATGGTGTTGGGGAGTAAGAATGAGCAAATTGAGCCCGATGCCGTATTGAGTTCGGATGGATTGGGTAGACTGGATAATTTCTGAAGGAACCATTGGTGAAGGCCAAAGGTGAGGCTCGGAGGCTGTTATGGTGGATAATTGAAGCCAATTTCATGGTTTCGGACCAGTAGGATCTTCAAATGTTGGTTGAAGATGTCCGGGCTTGGCTTGGCACAAACAGTGTGAGATAAGCTTCAGATACAAAAGTTTGAGATAAGCTTCAGCTACATAAGGGAAATTTCAGCAGGAAAACATATGACTTCAATATGAGCAAATTGAGACTTGAGTAGACAAAAAAGACAATCAAAATGGAAAAGATTAGTATAAATGTTTATAATATGAATATGAGTATTCAATTTTCACATTTAAGTGAATAAATCATACTATAATAACTATTGATCATATTTTTGTAAATAAATTTAATTTCTGTAATATTTTTGGAAGGAATTTCACTTTTGATCCTACGAGTTTAAGGTAAAATTCACATTTTATTTACACATTTTACTTTATTCACTTTTGATAGACGAGTATTGGATTTTCAATCATATTTGGTCCTTCTGACATTGTTTCATATCGTTAAGATCGTCGGAAAAGGACCCTCTCTGAAAACACTTAAAAACATTAGTCAAGTATCAAAACTGGAAAAAATGAAAAACATGAACTAAAGGTGAAATTGACACAAAACTTGTAGAACCAAAAATGAAATTAATTTTATTCATATTTTCGAAAAAAATGATACTAAATCTACCGTAATAAAAAATAAACTTTTGAGACAAAATTATGACTATTCTAGATTCTTATTCTTTCGTGACAATTACTCCGATTCAATATTTGTGACTGCCTCCCAAACTGATGGGTGTCTCGAAATTGTCATGTTGGTTTTTAACTGCATTTAATTATTCTATTCGTGTTTTTTCTATTCTTCTCGGATGTCATCGTGCACTCAATTTTTTATAGTGGCATGTTAGGACATCTCCAGTGCAATAGTCTATTGCACTTTCACATCATCAAATAGATCTTCTTAATTAAAATCTCCTCTCTAATGCATAAAAATGTGGATTTAGTCTAGGTAGGGTGGCAAAAGAAAAAAATGAACAATGTCTTCTACAAGGTCTCAATATATACCCTCTGTGTCACCCTCTCTCAATATTAAAGTAATGATTGTGGATCATATGCATTATTGATTACTTATTTGCTTTTACCTTTTTATTTATATCCTTTTTCAGCTTGAAGAAGTGATACATAGTTCCAGTATAAATAGTACATCTCTACAACCATTTACAAGGTAAGTCAAATAATTAATACAAGAATATATAATGGAAGATATTCCATCATACACCTATAACATCGAACTTATCATCAATGACATCATCGTGTAATATACTCATCATAGTTAATTATATAAATATTTTCAATTTATCTTATATAATTATTGTCAAAATAAGTGTGTCAATCTCAATGAGAAACACAAAATGAGACGGATGTAATATTATTTTGAAGGGTCGAATTTTTGTTGAAATTAAAGGAGAGATGAACAACATGGGGGCATGGTCACTTTTGGCTAGTGATTGTCCATAAGTTATATGCAATTCATATTATTTGCTTCGGTGTGACTGTTTTGTTTTTTTCTAGTCTTAGGGGGTTTTGGGATTCGATTGGTTTAGATTAATCTTAACTGATTTATATAAGTCTGTTTACCATAAAAGGATATGTTTTCTCTATAAATGCACTCAATCTTTCATTAATTTCTATCGAACTACGCGTCTGCCCACCCTCACTTGCTAACTCTAGCAATCACTTCCAACAACCGTTATCATAATTATTGTCCGCAAAAGCAAAAATAGTCATGAGAAAAAGTTTGCCAATTTTTTTCATACTTTCAATATATGAAAATGTTTCTCACACCCACGAACACATATTTTACAACGACAATAGTATCAGTGTAAACGATAATAACACTGATAAGTGACCGGTGGTGACATGATACTTCTATAGTAGCATAAAATTTATGAATTTGCTTACTTTATTTATTACAATGTGAAGTGTGAAGCAATAACTCTAAAATGTGAAAAGACCATTTAATCAAATAGATAATTGCATACCAATACATGAATAACTTTATAAACACAAAAACATCACCTTCAATATGTGACATGCCCTATACATGTAAAGATAACAATGATATTATTAGAGTCAGAATTAAGCATTTTAATAGTGACACCAATTAGGCAATTACCGTTATTATCTCACATCACTCTTATATCTAACTGGCCACAAATGTTATCATTAGTTAAGGATCACAATATCACGGAGCGGGACGTAGAATGCAAAAATCAGCCCCACTTCGTTACTATACTACCTTGTATACATGCCCCTGCCCGCCATGCAAGGTGGATTCGCCATCCCCGCCTGCCCCAATGAATATCCCGGTTCTTATTAGTTACAACGTTTTCATTTTTACTGTTGTCAAAACATAAATTTGACTATTGACATATTTCATTCATTAATAGCAAACGATTCAAAAAATCAGATTTAAAAATAAAAAGTGGGAGGAATTTAACAATATTTTTCAAAAATTAAATTTCTAACATTCTAATAAATAAAATTCAATCACAGTAGAGCACGTGAATAGTGTAAAATTTAAATATTCTACAAACACACACATATGTATGTTTATGTAAATCAATAAAATATTTTTTTTAATGAAAAATAGTATAACAAACACACATGTACTTTTATATGCGTTCGGTTGTGCAGGTCGGAGCGGAGTCCGTTCCAGCAGCATTTTGATAAATATTTTTAATCTGATCCTAATTTGGTAATTTTTTTTTGACATTATTTTGAAAAAAAATCAACTATTAATGATGTTCTTATAAATAAATTTTATTTCGCTGATACTTTTGATAAAATTCATTTCCATAATCAAAATAAATTAGGGAGAGTAAAGTAAATAAATACCGTTGCAAGCTGAGGAACTTGATGCTAGAATCTTATAGCTCTCCCAATTAGCAGAATCATACTTCAGCCTCCCCGCCACTGTTTCATTTCGCGGCTCCACCACACATGACGACGACCACCGCGCCTAACGCTGAAGCCGACCCGAAAACCCTACCGCAGTCGCCATCTCAACAGTCGGATTCTGATGCATCTGAAGTAGCTCGCGCCGCCATCCAGCCTCCAAGCGAATCCAAGACAGCGGTCACCACCACCGTGGTCAACAGCAGCAGCGGCGAAGTTGATATTCAGAAGAAGATTAAGCGTGCCGAGAGGTTCGGAGTGCCCGTGCAACTATCTGAAAAAGAAAAACGAAATTCGAGAGCTGAAAGGTACGTGTAGATACCGAAGCCCAACTTAGGGTTAGGGGTTTTGTTCATTTCTTTTTTTATTGAAATTCCGTTAAACTTGGTTTTTATTATCATGCCAAACGAGCACATTTGACAAATACCGTGTTGAGACCTGCTCCGTATATGAGAAAAATCTATGTCGTACTTTGGGTTCCTTAGGTTTACAAAAAGACTTCAAAGAAATACATTACACTAAACCTTGCTCCGAATCTCTGTTATTGGAGAAGGTGAACCTGGGTTCTTCTAAATCTTGGGTTCTTGTAGTAAAATTGAAAATAATCGAAGTGAACCAAGAATTATATTGGTAAAAACCTCAACACTAAAACACACAGACCATTTATAGGAGCGTCTCATTTAAACTTTCTTGAGACTGCGCAACTAAACTGCTCTAATGAAATAATATACAAAGTTTTGATTGAAAACACCCCTTAGTTTGCAATAAGTTACTCTACAATGTTATCACCCCCCTTCTTGTTCTAGACTTCCAGCACACAGATTTATCATCTCATAGATTTTTAATTATGTACTCCTATATATTTATAATGCATGTGCTACGTAAATAAGTTCTAGTTTCGATGCTCTCCTTTCCCATAGGGTCTTTTTTATTGGATTTCTTTTCTTCACTGAGTATACCACCCATCTTCAGAAGTGGAACATGGAGTCATATGTTATTAATCTGAAACAAGTGGCTTGCAAATTCATTTTTTTCCCATTTATATATTTTTTGTGGCATATGTGGAAAATGTATAGACTAGTTAGATACTATGATTTTGAAAGTCCATTTTCGCAGGATGAAATGATCTTGATGCCTTTAATTGTACTTTTCTTCTTGGGATAATTAGCCCTTTGTTCCGTTGAGAATCCAGCAGGACTAGGTGATGCAGAGCAATACTTAGATAACATCTTTGCATCTCTTACTGGTTTCATTATTTGTGAATAAGTAAATTCAAATAATATGATCTTATTGTTCATTATGCAGTTATTTGGTCATGTTTTCTTGTTAATTATACTCTAGTATTGATGCTCTTTTAGGTATTTGTATTACTCTTTTGAATTGGACATTTCTTATTTTTTAGGTTTGGCACCACTTCTTCAAATCCTGGATCAGATTCATCAAATAAAGCAGAGGAAGTGAAGAGGAAGGCTAGGGCAGAGAGGTAAGCTACTTGTATCCATTATGGTATGTTTGATTGCAAGAAATATAATAAAAGTTACTGCGTAATGATTTCCATGGGGGTCATTTTTGAATAATATAGTGTCTAATGTTAAAAACGGAAACAATGGAAATTTGTTCATGAAGAATGAATTTCCCTTTCAAAAGAGGAAGTTATTCCCCATACATTTAAGAATATGTTCGCTATTGCCAATGAAATTGAAAATGATAGTGAAAAATATGAGTAATGTTTTAAAAACTTTTGTTTACATATGTTCAGACTTCAGATTTCAATGTCTATGTACAAGGAACATATAGATTAGATGAGTAGATGGCTTAACAAAATAAATTTACTGAGCTTCAGAAAATGTTTTGTTTACCCTCGCATTTTTATTCCTTCCAAATTTCCCTTGCATTTTCCTCCATGTCTTTCTTTTTTGTTTTCCGAGTTCCAATGGACCTTAAAATAACTGGATTCTATTTTCCTGAAGCAAAACACGGATCCATTGTCTATTTTTCTGTAATTGTATATTGTATTCATATTACTAGTGTTGTTTGTGGTTGAGTTCTCTATCATGCTCTTAGGTTTGGGCTTGAACAAGTTGCCCCCACGGACGAGGAAGCAAAAAAGAAAGCAAGGCTTGCAAGGTTTGCGCCAGTCGCAAAAGTTGATCCTGTGGAGGAAGATAAAAAGAAAGCAAGAGCTATGAGGTTATTCAAATGCTATTTTTGGCTGTTTTAACTTTTAAGTCACTACAGTGGAAGCATTTTTTGTTGAGAAAAATGCACTTTAGTCTTTATGTTCTGAGTTTTGACCATATAGTTGATTCAGTACCTATGTATTCATGTTTCATTACTAGTCTCTATATTTAGGTTGAAGTAGCAGGTTTTTACCTCTTTTCCAATTATCACTTTGATCCAAAATGAAAATGCTATTTCATGGGATTTAATCCGTATTGTACATTCTCAAAACTGTTTTATACGTAGTAGAACATTTGTATAATATCAAAATTAATGAGTTTTCAAATAGTTTTTAGAATATATAATAAGAGGGGTAACAGATGCACTTTTCTTCCCCTAAACATTAGGAAGGATTAGGGCATGGCATGTTGAATAAATCTATATAACTTTTCAGGTTTTCACAATCTGAGTCTGATGCTCCATCGCAAACAAATGGAAAAGGAAAGCCTGAGGTGATATTTTTGTATATCAGGCAAACTTACAATTTTCTCTGGATTTATGACTCATCTGTTCCTTACTTGAGCCCTATTTCACAGGGGGGAACTGTTTCTGGGGAGGCAGGAGAGACCTGAATTATGTAAGATGTAGTTCTAAAGTAAGTTTGCAGTTCTGATCCAACCATGAGACACATAAAATTCTGCAAACTTACTTTTATTGGTTGCTATTTTTTAGTCTTATATTCTCCTTGAGCTGTAATATAACATTCTTACTTTTTCGTTCTTTGCCTTGTACATTTTTGGGATAAATCAATTTTCCCTTTCTTTTTCAGGCTAGCAGGTTATGAGTCTGACATCTTGCAACTTGACTAATAGCTTTTTAGGACAATGGCGAGGAAAGTTTTCCTCAAGTATTGGAAGTGGTTCTTGTCTACATACAACATATATTTTTGTTTTTTTTCCAGTGAACCCTCGGACTGTTGGAAGCAACCTCTGTAGTACGTGTATCTTCTCAAATGGCCAGAACAATGTAAAAAATGCAGGCTTAAAAATTTTGTAGTTCAAGAATCTATGGTATATTCGTATCACAATACAAGCTTGATTTCCTAAAATCTTTTCTCACTTCTTGATATTTATTTGCTTAAACATAGATGCTAAGAATCTAATTTCAGGACATTCAAAACACGTGATGCATGTTTAATGGTGAAAATGAGATCTTGAAATCTTGAAAACCCGGCTTATAGGTGTAGGAACAATATTTTCAACTTGTGGTAGCGGTAGAGTGTGGAAGACCAGCAAATATAAATCATAAACAACTTTTTCTTGCATTAGTTGATCGAGTAGGATTAGCTTGTACTCTGGACTTATCTTGTTGCAACTTTCAACCATGCTTTTAGTATCCTATTTTGAATCTATATACAGCCTTGAAGAGAATACTAATATAGTGAGATTTAGTACTGGTATTCCAATCTAAATTTCGTAAAAGTGGATAAGAAAATGAACTCACATCTTAGTTGGGTTGAAGGTGACTTAGTGGCAGTCTATTATGATATAGGATTGACATTGTGAAATGGCCATTTTAAGAGAATTTGATGCTAAGGAGGTGCTGTCTGACTGGGTGAATTCTGTGCGGTCACTGGAATTTAATACTACGTTTATTGTTGTATGTAATCCTTTTAAGTGCTAGCTACTATGTCCAGTTGTTAATGTCTTCCACCTCTCTGTTCGCAATGCTTCTGCATAATTTCTTCTGATGAGTGATAACATCTCATGAGACCGTTCATTATCTGCTCATAATTTTCTCGTATTTAAACTTAAGCACTGCAAGGTTTTGAATGTGGTGGGTAAACGTTTTATTACTCTCTTTTTAGAGACCGAACGTGTTATCAGGTTTTTGGGTTCAGCTCTCTCTTGTCAGCTCTAGGGTTGTATACGAACCGAATCGAGTCGAATAATGAGATTTTGTATTTGTATTTGTTTAATTTTTTCGAATACGAATTCGAATTCAAATATGAAACGAATATTAATTTTGATTTGTATTTGTATTTGTTTAACAATACGAATAATTAACGAATCATATACGAATATCGAATCGAATTGAGTATAAGTTAAATATTAGTCAAATATCACTCTAAAAAAACTTTTCTTATACTCCGTGTTTTTTATGTTGTAAATGCTTGCTATGACTTAATGTGTGTTTTTAGAATTTAAGTTTAATTAATGGATCAATGCATTCTTAGATGGCACACAATATACTAAAGTTAATTAATTTTATGATTAATAAATATAAATCTATTTCAAACCTTTTGAAATATACACTAACACACACATATTAGAAAGTATATATACTTCTAATGTGTGAAATAAGTTGATAATTGTGTATATCAAAGTCAAATAACTCCAATTTTATTCTTCAAATCGAATACATAATTATTTGTATTGTATTTGAAAGACATTTGAACCAAAAAATTGATTTGTATTTGTATTTATATTCTGATTTATTACAAATAGGCTTGGAATCTGTATGCAAAAGTGTATATATGGGCTACACTTTGAGTGTATTGTTATCTTTTAAAAGTTATTATAATGTTATTATTACTATTATTATTATTATTATTATTATTAGTATTGACATTAATATTATCATTATTATTAATCGAATATATTTGATTAATATTCGAATCGAATACACTGATATTCTTATTTGTATTTGGTAACAACTCGAATCAAATTTAATATTCTTATTTGTATTTGTATTTGAATTTTCCGAATTCGAATCGTCTTATACGAATTTGAATCGCGAATCGAGCACAAATTATTTGTTTCGTTTACAACCCTAGTCAGCTCTCTATTGGTGGACTCGAGCCGGTTCGGGCCTGGGCCGGGCCTAGGCCCGACCGGGCCGCCGGTTAGGAAATGTTGGGCCCGGGACTGGCCCAGGTACCCCACCGGGTCCGGACTGTTCCTGGTCTCAGGCCTCTAACATTTTTTTCCTTTTTCTAATTACCCAGCAAAACCCGGGGATTTAAAAAAATTGAAAACAAAACATTAAGCCCGGAATCGGGCCCGGACCGGCCGGGCTGGTTCATGTTTTGGAACTTTTGGGTGACCTGAGCCCGGAACGGAAACCACTCGGGTCAGGCCTACCCGGACCGGTCACTGGCCGGGTCACCGATTCGGACCGGACCAGAACAGTGCTGGTCCCGGGTCGGGCCACCCGACCCGAAGCCATGACTACACATGATTCTCAATTTCTCTGTGTAAACCTTTATATGGGTGGCGACTGGCGACTACCTCGCCTCAACTCTCAAGCTAGTAAGGATGGGCACTATATATGGTTCTTAAATCAAAACAAGAGTCAAAATCCTAAGAGCCTTGCAAGTTGCAATCAAGAAATGCAATGTGCGCTACATCTTTTTATTTGATTCCCACTTTATATATAAATAAATATATAATGGAAACTTGACTTAGTAAGGGTTGGTTTGCAAATGATTAAAAAAGCACTTTATTTTTTACTTAAAAAACATTTATTTTATCAAATACTACCACTTTTATTTTTCTCAGCTTTCGTGTCAAAAGTGTTTTTACTTTTTCTATTACATAAAAAACACTTATTTTACCAAACACTACCAACTTTTACTTTTCAAAATCATTTTTTCTCAAACACTATCAACTTTTATTTAACCACTTCTTCCCATTTCATTAAAAAAACACTTTTTTAAAGCAGAGACGGTTGCAAATAGACCCTAAATGTTATCAATTTATCATGGCTTTTACCGTTTTACGGGGGACACAATTATGTTCAACTACCGATTGGCTCCTATGTAACACTACGTAGAACCCGTTTGGTGACACCTTTTCTCGACTTATGAGGCTTATCGACTAGCTTTTTCACCAAACATGTAATTTTTGTTTCCGTGTGCTGAATTTTGAAATAATAAGAAAAAGTAAGGTTGAAATTACTTTTATGGCTGTATTGACTTAAGTTACTGTAGACGGCTATTTTTTCATATAATTTTTTATTTGATTAATTAATTACAAATATTTTAAATATAATTTTTTCATAAATCAGCATAATCAGTCAATATAGCCACTTCAGCCAGAACGTGATAAATTTTAGCAGAATTAGCCAATTTCAGTGTTATCAAAGCTCGTAGTAAATTAATCTTTCTTAGAAAATGTTGTAATTTTTTTCACTTTTTAAATGTTTGTAACTTTTTTCTACAAACATATCAAATTAAATAATTTTTCATAGACAACAATATTGTATATCTAAATTTTAAAATTATATATTATGCAATTCTACTTACTCCATATTTAGCATAACTTTTAATAATAATTTTTATTCTAATTTAATATAACAGTATTTGTAGCATATCAGATCATAAAAATTAAAAAATTCGATGTATTTGATATAAAAGTACATATACGGATGAAATAGTTATAATTAAAAAATTGACACACGATTGGCAATTGTGTTATCATTATATTAAGAAGATACGAATAGAACTTTTTTTGAAAATCAAATAACCATTTTATTGATAATATCTTAACAAGAAACATAACAACTAAAAACCGAAGCATTACGATCATAGCGTTCAATACTACACTAGGGTGAGACAAAGAACAAAAACGCCATATAAAAGCACTCATGTTCGTCAACCCAGCAACAATGTAGACTCGTAGCGCAGTGTGTCTGCTCATGCTACTCGAAATGGGTTCGGCTTGACCAGTCACCGAAAAAAAATTATTGAACTTACCGATTTTACTAGCACCGACAACTACGCTAAGGAGCCAAGTGCAAAAACTATTCCGGTCTGAACATGCACCGAAAAGGAATTATTGAACTTAGAACTACTTTTAATCATCACACGATTCACATCACGATAATTGCAATCGGAGATAGTGATATCTCATACTCCGTATAAAAAACTACTCCGTAATTCATATTCTATGTTAGTCTTACTTGCCATGTATTAAAAATCGTTCATTTTCTTTCAAAAAAAAAAACAAACAAAAAAATCGTTCATTTTATTATCTTGACACCAACCTCTTTGCATAATAACCTCACAATTTACAAATGAACGCAACTTCATGTGATACCAGGTATTTTATTTATAAAATTAAATATTTATCCATTTTGACATATCAATTTTTTCCTTCAACTACAAAGTACCAGAAGCATTTGAATTTGACGTGAGTTTTAGAAAAATACGTAGTAAAAGAAATAATTGTTGTTTAAGAATTATAATCTCTAGAAAGAAGAAAATTGTTATTAATTCAACAGTAGTAATCTCTAATCTACAAAGTAACTCAATTGTAGTAAAAGAAATAATTGTTGTTCATTCAACTCCAAACTTACGATCTCAAAAAAAAACTACAAACTTACAAAGTAATGGTCAACATGTTTTTCTTTTATTCTTATAAATTTCAATCTCACAATTTTAATTTTATATTTTATTTCACACAATACAAAACTGATAATGTCCAAATATGACGAGGTAATATGTAAGAGCATCCACAATGCACACATGTCTAGTCTACATAAATTGTGCCACATCATTAAATTAGATTTTGAGTACATAATTTATTCTCCAACAGTTGTAGTCTTTAATGATAGTTTGGTGACATGGCAACAAAAAATTTAGACGGCGTGAAGCAAGATGTTTGAGCAATTGAGTGTAGAAAGAGGTAAAACACACCGTACAACCGGTTGCGTACCGTGCGCACGGTACAAGCGGTCTTTTAAGCTTCCTTTTCACCCTAGCAACGGTTTCTCCAACAACGCTTCTCCGATCTTCGTCCCTGAATCAGCGCTTCTCGCACAGACTTCGCCCATGCTTCTTCAATCTTGCTGATTTCTTCTATTTGATCTCGCGCACCAGGCAAACCTCTCCTCTCACCGCTCTCTTCTCCTCAAGTTCTCCTGCTGCGCAAGAGACGACGGCTCTTGGGAATTTCTTTGTTGGCCGGTGCTACGAGAAGAAGGATAGGGGGAAGACAGATTGAAAGATGATTTAGGAGTTTGAGTTCATACTTTTAGTTGATGAATCTGGAATGAGTTTATATTAAACTTAAACGAGTTTCAGCTTAAAAAGAATGAACATACACAAATGAATATTGAGCATATTAAAAATGAGTTTTATGTTAAACTCAAATGAGTTTAAAACCGAAAATGAATGAGCATACACAAATTAGATTTTGAATTTTTCGACACTCATTTTGTAGGTTATGTATGCTCATTTGGTACCTCTTTATGCTCATTTAAAAAAAATTCACATTTCAAACGTATCATACTACATTATGTTAAACTCAAATGAGTATAAAGGCCAAAATGAATGAGCACACACAAATGAGCTTTTGAATTTTTTGATACTCATTTTTTAAGTTATGCATGTTTATTTGGTACCTCTTTGTGCTCATTTTAAAATGTTGCACATTTCAAATGTATCATACTATCTTAGATTTACAAATTGAAATTAATTGGAATTGATTAAAAACATAATTTAAGAGTTTTTATAAACGGAAAATAATAAAAAGAAAGCGAATCAGAAGATATGAAGCAGAGTATGCTAATGCTCATTTTTAGGCTCCTAATACTCAAAAGAACAGTCCTCGTACTCAACAAAATAGCGTTAATGCTCATTCAAGATAAGTCGGATTTTCATCAAAATTGCAAAAATGCCACCGGCTGCACAAAAGAGGTGCTTGTCTCTCGTTATGCTTGGTCAGTGGGTCTCCACTTCACCGATTCATTGCGCTTCTCATCTATGATGAACTGGTGTTGACGATTCGTCCTCCATACAAAAATCTCCATTCTCTATTTTCAGATGAGTTAATTATAATATTGTAGTCACTCGGTATTTAATAGACCCCTACAATAGCTCCTGGCAGAAGATTTAAGAAGGGAATAATAGGGATAATGAATCATGTATATAAAGTATGAGAGA